TTTCAACGCCTCCGGGCACAACAGGTAAGTGTGCTTACCTAAGGTTACTGCTAGTCACTACGTCTCGACCGGTGGCGCCATCAGGTGTCGCCGGGAAAGCATAAAAACGCTACACTTCATTGGCATGCATGTTCTAAACTGTCTCCAGGACAGATGGTGAGTCGTAGAACTGACGTTTTGAGAATTTGTTCAATTACTTGAGGTTTATGCAATTAGGTTATGCAATAGGTTATGCAACCCGGGAAGACAACAATACGTCGGGTGATAACGTTGCACCCAAAGGCAATGTCAGTTTTATCAATCCAATTGGGTTCAATCATACCCCACTAGCGTTTACAGTAGCTTGTATGTCTGCAGTTGGTGGACATAGGTTGTCAGGGTCTTCTTTCACTGACACAAGTTCGCTTTCTGCAATGCAACAACAATCCGATCCTGTCACAAAAAGAGCCTTACTTGGCTGTGGCCATTTTGCTCATGAATACTTTAAGTGAGACAACATTAGTGCCAATAGAGGAAATGATACTTCCCATTAATATTTGGTTTGTCTTGGTGCGAGGCTGGTTTCTTGCCTGAGTTTCTGCACACTTTTGCAAAATCGTTCCATTTATCACACGATTTGCATTTCTCCACGTTTGCTGGGTAAGTGGCTTTGTCTCTGCATTTTGGGTAAACACATCTCAGTTTCCTTATCTCTATCACTTCGAGAGCAGTCGCTGGATTGTGAAGACCTTCTGCTTCTGAACCACCTAGGTTCATTTTGCTTCATTTCCATTTCTCTGTGGATGCTGCTCACCCCAGAACTAGCAGAATATGTGAGCTTGGCCTCTGTAATATTTTCATGTGCTTCCAGAGTTTTCCATGCCTTTTCTACGGAAAGTTCAGGATCTCTCAGCGTGTCTCGTCCTGTAGCCTCCTTTCGGTGCAGAACACAGGTTTAGACAGAATGTTGTCATCCATGGCTGCCTGTGCACATTGATTACATAACCCTTTATCAAAGCTACGTTCTTTTATGTTTTTGACCACTTCACTATGTGATGGACTGGTGAGGCTTTTGATGCAAGTCATGAAATTGGTGTCGAGATGCCAACAAAGATTTCGTTTTCTCGCATACTAGGTAATAGCTGCGGGCACCCGCTGCGCTGGGTAAAATCGTGCTACTAATTCATACTACTAATAATTGGACACAATAGGAACATTGGGTAAAAATCGACAATATAACATTGCACACAATATCAATATTTACAAATCAGTGTAATAAGATAATAAGCATGGGGAAAACCTGTTACGTATGACATTTATATGACAGCAGAACCCAACTTAGAACCCCTGGAACCTAATAGTAATATGGTGGAAATGAGAAAAAGTTATTATAACAGCATGTACGAATGGGTTGCAGTTTTCATTTGAAAACCTCTTGATAAACAATGGTTTGCGTGTTATTGTCTGGTGGAAATATGTAGAGATTGCTGGCGTCTCGAACTGTTGAGCTCACCACGTACAGCTATCCATTGTCAGATCGTAGGATGAATAAACGAAATTGGGTATATAGTATATAGTATAGATAGAGACAGGCCAGCGAGTGGGGTCTGTGTCCATTGGATATTGTCTAGTGAATGCTTGGCGCGCGTCATGCACATTGAAATAAAGGAATTTTTCTACTGAATCAGAAAAGGCATAGCTTTCGAAATGGTACAATGGATTCTGAAATGTAGCATGATAAAAAGTCGATATATAGTATACAGACAGGCCAGCGAGTGGGGAAATTTGTAATTATAAAAGAATGTTTACTCACTTGGTACGTGTCTTTATGCGTTGATGTTTTGAGCAATCGTAACCTCTCAAACTATATAATACTCATACTAAACTATAGTGAATGTCTATAAATATTTACAAATCAGTGTAATCAGATAATAAGCATAGTAAAAACGGTTACGTATGACATTTATATGACAGCACAACCCAACGTAGAACCCCTGGAACATAATAGTAATATGGTGTAAATAAGAAAAAGTTCTTCTAACAGCATGTACGAATGGGTTGCACTTCTCATCTTAAAGCCTCTTGATAAAACAATGCAGTCGTAACCACAGGCACTTGAAGCGTTTCAACTGTAAACACACGCCGCCGGCCATTGTGCGCCACTGACACATAAATATATCCTGGCTGTGCTCTGTTTTAGTACCGGTTTCGGTTCTCAATACCAGCAGCTGATGGAATGAGTGATCGTTTTCCTGTGTGTGGCAGCACTGTACAGTCAGTGCTGACAATGTGTGAAGATTGACGAATTGAGGGGTTTTCACCGGATTTTTCGGTTGAGTTTGACGGTTTGGCAGGTTTTTTTCAGCTAGAACACTCCCCGGTTAAGAGATGGCCCTGTGAAAATTGCATCCAGATCGCTTGGGCGGTTTGGCGCCGCCTATAGGGAAGATACATACATACATACATACATACATACATACATACATACATACATACATACATACATACATACATACATACATACATACATACATACGAACTCAAATATATATTAGATGAGATATCCCCCGAGATAAATCCACGGGATAACTTACAGACCCCGAGATGGGTTTATCTCGCACTACTTTTTAATCCAATGATTTTCCTTAATTACGCGGTCAAAGGTTACCTTTACAGTTTTTGGCCAATCAATAGTAATAAAATTAATTAATAAAAAAATAAAAAAATAAAAAATTCTAAATATATAAAAAAAAAATTAAAAATTAAATTAAAATAAAATAAAATAAATAAATTGAACATTTTGCTAAATATTGAATTAATATTTGAACTGAAATATTCTTTCTGCAATAAAAAGTAAAAAATTTAAAATTAAAAAAACAAATAATTAAAAAAATGTGAGATAAAGTTTCTATCACAGTATGAGTTTGAGAATGGAAATATCACACCCTCATAGATAACCACGTCTCATACTCGCTATGCTCGTATGAGATGGGATATCTATAACTCGGGTGAAATATCCCATCTCAAGCTCATACTGTGATAGAACGTATTAGTCTCGATTAGGCTTGAAGTAATAGCCACAACTTCGTTAATGTCTTGGTGCTTGGCAGCAGGGAGCTGTAGTCGAATGGCATCTACACGGTGGATAGTTTCACGGCGACCTCAATGGCAATTTGCTGAGTTTCCCAATCAAACTCTGTGAGTTAAGCTTCCTTGGTGAAGGCAAGAAATGATCGTTGCCAGCTCCTAAGGTCAATGCTGGAGAAAGAGGCCACGACTAATTTTTCTGGACAACGTGTTTTCAATAAGGCCCTGTTCTGCTGCTGGGCTGTCGCCTGTATTTTTTGTGTCTGTTGGGTGATGATTTCAGCTGGCAGTTGCAGTAAGTTATTCTGCTGTAGCACTGAATCTGGCTGTCCCCAAGTAGCACAATCATCTATCATGTCCATCGGCGTTCTTCCTTCTCTGTCTTCTCAGGCTGCCATCTTGTGAACAATACACGTACACGGTAGGTTTTGCTGTGACTACAGGTGTTAACACAGCTTTATCACTTTTAGTTCAGGATCACTGGTTCAAAGATTATATCAAATCTCTGCCTTCTGCCTTGCAAAGCCATGATAAATATGCCGTTTTCTTGAGCATTATAATAACGATTCCAATAACTGCCAATTTCACAGTTACATAAGCATGTAGTATCATAGAGCACCGCCCTTTGTTCTCCCCGATCTACTACTTGCGCCCTTCCCTCTCTTGGGCGTACAAGGACTAAACGGGTTTTGCATTACCTTACAAAAACATTTTAATATTCTTCCTACACTTTTATCGGTTACACTTAGGCTAGATTTTTCTTGAGTGCCAAAACACACTCTGATACACAAACCCAACAACTAAGCAACTAAAACTAATTCCTAAGTGAAACTGCAAAACAATGACTCTAAGAACAACATGCACTCTAAGTTTAGCCCAGCACCACACCTCCATTAATTGTGAGGGATTGCACACCGTTTCTCGAGTCAGCTAACAGCTAATTGTTATATTTGACAGCATATTGCGGTTTGCACGGATGGAGCAATAGTTTTTAATTATGCGGGTATGTGCAATGGTGGGATTTCCTCATACAAAACTAGGAAATGAAAGACAGAGAGCGTCTGAGATATGTTTTACTATAACTAAAAGCTATGGACAAGTTTTATTAGTATTAACATTTAAGGAAACGTACTAGTGTTGATTAAAACTTCGACCCTCCTTCGAAGGGCATGTTTGTCTAGGTACCAGTCCAACATGGCATGCTGCCCAAGGATTTCACTTTAAACTCTTGGCAGTACTAATCTGCCCTAAACAACAATTCTACTCCTGCCATTGGTTAGCCTCACTTTAGAATTAACTACATAATAATATTACAATTTTTTTTAAACTTAAGTATGTACAGTTCGACCTCGGTTATCTGGCCATGTCGGGACCGGCACCCATGATCCGAATATGCGATTTATGCTCAAACATAGCATTTCTATGCAGTTCAGTAGGGTTTATGCATGTGATAATGCATTTACTCGTTACTATGATTATTTGTAACAAACTGTCGTGTTTTACGCTTTATATGAAATGGAAATGAAATGAAATAAAACAGAAATTTTACCACTTCAGTTTATGTTTGTTTATGTGTTCATGTTTTGTGCATGTGATAGCCCTATATTTATACATTTACATGTACATGGGCGTTTGCTCTTACGGTAAGTGTTTGTTTTGTGCATGTGATAGCTGTGCGCTCTTACGATAATCAATGTGTGCATCGCACGAGAATCATTGGTACATCGCGTGAGTTTGAGCGAGTTTTGAGCGAGATTTTTAGGTGGAAATGAATGAAAAAACAGAGAACATACACTGCGAGATCGCGGCCGGTTAATAGAGGTTTCCGGATAATTGGTGGCCGGATAAACGAGGTAGAACTGTAATGTCTGCTGTTCAATCTTTCACATCATAACAGTGGGGTTTCCCCCAAATAACTATCGGATGTAACTTACATGGTTATGGCTTCGTCTGCGTACATTGCCTGTAAATCACAAGACAGTCCATATTCTCATACTATAAGTAATGTATGGTATGCTAAAAATATTACAGATATGATAGAAAATATTGATACAAATAAGATATATATAAAGGGCAATAAATAGAATAAAAATACACATTTAAAAAAAAAGTCATTAGTATAGCCTTTATCTTCATCCTACAGGTAACTCTTGACTCTTACGATTTTAACTTTTCAGAACCATTGCTAATGCTTTCATGCAATATAGTTGTTGACCCAAAGCAAAATTATCCTTGAAGCCTATGCGAACCCAACTATATTTTTGTTCAGTAAATAACACTAAAGAATATTTTTGCCATATTATAAATTACCTTTAGGTATTTTAGCAAAAAGGTTATGTTTTTGTACCTTTTGACGCAATAGTAAATCCAGTAAAATCAACGAGACGCAATTCGTGGGGCGTGGATTAATCGTGACGTAGATTTGGGAATCTGTGTTGAGCTTTGTGCCATGACATACACGCTACCCACCGGTATGGTTATTATTGTGAAGCAGTTTAATAAATAGTAGAAGTCTGTACGAAATCGACCACAAACAAAGTTTCCATGCAGCCATTACTATAAACAGTACTTACTCTAGGCTCTGGAAGGATGTTCGTGTACTTGACTCTTTTAGAGCAAAACCTTATATTTTCTCATTCCTTATGGTAAGACTTTCAAAAGAAGTTTGTGTAACACCTCTGGGTCAAGTACGTTTTTTTTCTGTACAGACTTCGTACACCCCTTGTGTGATTTTCAGTTAGGCGCAAAAGTGAAATGAAAGTGTCAACGACACTATTGCTCACCTTGGGTGTGATAGAACAGGGAGATGATATTTAAAATTTGGTAAGTGTTTCATTTATGATGGACCAAAATGTGATCAAATGTCCGTATTCCCTGTTTTATACTAATACTAATTTCACTGTTTTGTTTCAGGGGTAGTTTTAATGTGAACATAAATGTTCCAGATCTGAAAGTCTGAAATCTGGGCGAGAGATGGCGCTACGCCTAAATGATGGCCATTTTGGTTTTCGATTATCGCGCAAAGCAATAAAATATTCCAGTAAAATTACTGTAACGAAGAATCTAATACACAATATTACATGTAGGTATGATTAGGTAGGTAGTTAGGTAGGTAGGTAGTTAGGTAGGTAGGTAAATTTAACAAAATCGAATGAATCTAGATGGCCATTTTCATTTTTGCCAAGAAGTGAGTGTGCCTCGAAAGTAGGTCGACTGGCATGCTCCAAAGTAGGGCGTTCAAATCTCTCCCATAGGAGTAACAACTGTATGCAATTTAAAACATGTGGATCAAACGGTTCTTGAGTTATCGTTGACCGTAGGCAGACACTGAAATGCATAGTGAAATTGCTAAAATCTACCTAATTTGCATAATTTAAAAAAAATATCAAAACCTGTGTGATATGTTTTGGGGCCACTCCTTATTCATTCACATATCAAAAATGAGCAGAATCCGTTGAACCTGAACTGACTTATGGCCATTTCCATTATTGAAAAAAAGTGGGCATGGCTCGAAAGTAGGTCAACTGGCGTGCTCCAAAATAGGACGTTCACATCTCTCCCATAGGATTAACAACTGTATGCAATTTGAAACATGTGGGTCAAACGGTTCTCAAGTTATCATTGACCGTAGCCAAATGTTGACGGACAGATGGACGGATGGACGGACGTACGACGGACAATGCCCTATGGCAATAGCTCATCTTGACAATGCCAAGGTGAGCTAAAAATGGCAATATTGAAGTTTCAGATCATAATTATTTATTAAGCAACCATAAACTTTCAAATTGCACTGCATTTCATTTAATAAGTATTACTAACAACTTTCCAGCATGATTTGTTGCCATAAACATTGTTTCAATGTACGAAATGGCTACACGTTGCTCAATTTTAGCCCAAAAATTGCCCAAAAATCGCGGTCACTTTGAAAGTATCTCTAGGTATGATTGCTTCTCACTCGCCCAATATTGTAGCTACAGGTGCCAAAATTGGCCAGAAGTTTAAGTGCTCTAAGTGACCAAGCATCATAATGATGCCCCTGGGCTTTATATGATGCATGTAGGAGCTGTTGTAACGCATGGTCAACCCTACCCACAAATATCAGCCTTTTGCGAATTCCGTCAAATGATGATAACTCCTTAAGTATGTGACCTAAGAAGTTGATTTTTAGGTCGTTAGGACATAGGAAGTTCAAATTGACACGACAGCAACATGTAATGCAATATCGGACAAAACTCTAGCAACACTACAGCCAAGAATCGACATATTGCACTCGCCATATTTGTTGTATCCATGTGGAAATTCAAAGCTGAAACACCCCTCTGGGACAGACAGAATTGCTATGTGAAAGGCAAGACAAATTCGACACACTTGGGTTTCAGATATTACCCGATGAGGTAACGGGAAACAAGCCAGCACTACTATTTATATGGGAAGCACAGCGAAACCCTTGGCCTGATCACAATAGAAACTGATGAAGTATTTTCCCTGTTGAACACAGTAACAGACGTCTCCAATGGGAAGTCCAATGATTTACAAGGTTAACAACTTCACCCTCCAAGGCAACATGAAGACATTACATGCGAGTCAGAATTACAGTTGGCTCAATCAACTCTTCTATGCAACCATGAGCAAACCAACAACAGCTTTACTCCACAGTGCATGCATGCGCCAGCACCATCAGCCCAAACCATGATGCCATCGAATATACAGTTCTCCCCCCACCAAGGCAGCTACGCAAAGAGCAGATACTACAACACTAATGAATATCAAAAGAACTCTAGCGGTCTCGGCTGCTTGGGCCTGCTGTGTCTTTTAAGGTCAATGACAATGTAACATCCGTTTAAATGTCAGTCCACCGAATCCCAGTGGCGAGGAGAAAGAAAGAAAAAACAGCTATTGATCGCTAGACAAGTTCAAGCCAGAATTTGAAAGTTGACGAACCTACCTCATGGTACTCAAATGCACTGATCAGAGAATGAAAGTGTCAATGACACTGTAGCTCACCACAAAAAAGACACAAATGAGTGAGTGAGAAGAAGTCAGTTCTAATTGAGCAACCATCGACGTACATTATACAAACGACGAGTATATATGGGAGAACACCCATTATATACTCTTGATAATTATGTGTAATTTTTGATGTGAAAATAATAAATAATATTATATATAAATTATAAATGATTTATAAACAAAAATGAATCACAATTTGTGACGCTAGATGGCGCTATACCCGCTTTAATGATGTCTTAGCATAAATCATTATATCATAATAATAATAATATAATAATAATAGTATAAATCATAATATGTTCATAGCAGGAATTTTGCATTAAAGATATTGTAAATGAAATCTTGTAAAACGAACCAGACGAGTGTGACACCACAGACTGTTTGTTATCTGCGTGTCTATATAATATGCTATATAATTGCCAAACACTACCTAATTTGCATAACATTTTTTTTAAATATCATTCAAAAATATCACCCTTATTCATTCACATACCAAAAATGAGCAAAATCCGTTGAACCTGAACTGACTAATGGTAATTCCAATTTTTTGCCACAAAATAGCCGTGGCTCGAAAGTACGTCGACTGGCGTGCTCCAAAATAGGACGGTTAATATGGGAGCATAGCAGTAACAACTATACCCAATTTCAAACATGTGGGTCAAACGGTTCCTGAGTTATCGTTGACCGTAGCCAAATGTTGACGGACGGACGGACGGACGGACGGACGTACGACGGACGACGACCCATGGCAATAGCTCAGCTCGACGATGTCAAGGTGAGCTAAATATGTTTGAATTGTTCTGATATGTTGATCAAAATATTCACAACAAACCCGCTCGCGGCAGTGTTTCGAAATTTCAGTGACTGTTATGAAACGGCACATATATCAGGATATTTATTCGACTATATCAACAGATATCGTACAAAACTTATATATTGGGTTAGAAGGATGATGGTTTTTAACTAGTCCTCAAAATTGGGTATAAATATGTTCGATTTGTTTTGATATGTTGATCAAAATATTCACAACAAGCCCGCTCCCGGCGGTGTTAAGAAATTTCGGTGATGGTTATGCAACAGCACAGATATCAGGCTAATTAATTGATTATATCAACAGATATCTTACAAAACGTATATATTGGGTTAGAAGGAGGATAATACTTTAACTATTCCTCAAAGTTAAGTCTAAATATATACGATTTGTTCTGATATGTTGATCAAAATATTCACAACAACCCCACTCGCGGCGGTGTTTATAAATTTCGGTGACTATTATGCAACGGCACAGATATCAGGCTATGTACTCGATTATAATATATTTCAACAGATATCGAACAAAACATATATATTAAGTTAGTAGAATATTAGTGCTATGATTATCAGTGACTCTCTGGTATAAACCCTTTAAGGTGCAAATACAGTTTATGACGTCCAGTATAGAGTACCGAAGTGATGACGTCACGGTGGCATGACAACGAGCCTGCTGGTTCTACACAATCATATGCTCTGGTAACATTAACTGCGTGTCGTGTTTTGTACCCGATTGTAACCATCATTCTGAGAGTCATTATTGCAGTTTTTATAGATTTCCAAAAGATGGAAGTGAAAAGCAACGGAAAAAAAAAAAAAAATTAACAACAAAAAAATTTGTTTTTTTTAAATTAAATTTTTTTTTAATTCATTAAATATTGTAAAATCGACTTGCTACCGATGCTTTACCGCTGTCTGCAGCGCACACACTCGTGTTTTACGTACGCACAACATTTTCACGCAGTTAACGTTATGGAGCCAGTGGCTTGTGTAGAACCAGCCCGTGCGTTGTCTTGCCAACGTGACGTCACACTTCGGTACTCTATGGCGGCGCAGTTTTACACTACCGCCATCTACCGCCCGATCTAAGAAACTATGGGAATGTATCGGAACGTATCGTATTGATGACTAAGCCTATTTATC